GAGAGAGGGGTGAAAGATGTCATCTATGTCAAACTGGAAAGACCATCCCTCAACAGAGGTGGAGGTCTGAGGCATCATGTCTCACTGGTGTACAATTCAGTCTTAAGATCTCTCCCCAGGAAGATGAAACCACATTCACACCTAGCCACAAAAGACCCTAACGAACCCCTTTGTGGCAGGGGGAGCACTAACGACACACATAACGAGGGAGAGGAGTAACAACCCCCAACTGAAACCGAAACTCAGGTGTTCATGGCTCCTTAGGACATAAGTATCTGGATCTCCCAACTAGTCAGTCAGAACTGATGAAGCCTCCTGGATGACAGGTGAAACATCTTCAGTTGCTGTGATAAACCTACCAGAATGCCTATATAAATGCTTTCTGAGATAACTGTGTTGTTCAAATTGTGACTGCAGCTCCTAATACTCACTGATTTGTGCAGATGGAAGAGGACACACGTTGACACACACTTTGCAGCCAAATGTGAGATAACCTGGTCCTCAGCTTGGAAGTGATGGATCTGTGGAGTAGTGGGCTTTTTAGACATGATCATTAAAATCATTCATTGTATTTCGGTTTCTTTTTGTCTTTATTCAGCCTCAACAGTAAGTGGCACTTACCAGTTGGGGCATGAGATTCATGTCTTGGAACAACACCGTCAGGACTTCTTCAAAGTACAAAGTGAGTTGTGAAGGCAGGTTCTGGGAAGTCAGACTGGAGGTGATCTTCTCCACCAGACTCAGACTGATGCAGGTCAGCTCTGCCTCGCTGCAGCGCTCCTCTCTGAGCTCGGCGGCCAGCAGCCCACTCACCCCGCTGGATATCACATGTGCCACGGCCGCGGCGCTCTGGTTGGGACGTGACCTGGTCAGAAGACATCCGTACGCATCCGTCAGACACTTCAAAGGCTCCTCCATGGTGCGATGGTCCCTGCAACTCGCTGTGTGTACAGTAGCTCTGCTCCTTCCGCACGGACGAGCCATGTGATACACACGGAAGCGACGCTGTTTGAATCAAGTAACAAAATAAAACTGCAAACATGGACCACCCGCCTTCAAATTAAAAGCAAGTTCCGCTTACTCCATTTTGGTGCAGGAAATACAAATGCAGCACCACTGTCAGATGGATTCATACAGTCGTCCAGGTGATGTTTTCACAGCTTTGAGGCCTATTTATTGGACCTCCAAGCCTTTACAGCCTTTATTCATTGAGGCTTTTGCTTCCATGTATATATTAGTTTTATATATATTAACCTCAACATGAATGGTTGTAGTAAATGTTACACACACACATATACGTGTGTGTGTGTGTGTGTGTGTGTGTGTGTGTGTGTGAATGACATAAACATCCATCTACAATTGTTGTTCATCTATAATGTTGTTGATGCTGTATGTTGTTGAGCTTATTTATCATGACAAAGTAGAAGACAAGCCGCAATGTTTTGCTACAGCATGAGATGAAAGATCTTCTGTTAATATCAGTGGAAAACTGCTACTAATTGCTTAACTGGACTCTATGTCACCAGACCTGTAGGCTATCCCTCTATTTAGTTGTAATCCATTCAAATGCTTGATCAGAACATTTTCAGCAATTCCGTGTTTGACACGTTTCCTCAGTCTAGTTTTTATATGTACTTTTTTCGACAGTATTATTGAGACTGCCTTCAATTAATAAAGCATTTGTTTATATTTCACTTGCACCCATACAGAACAAAGCCTCGGTTTTGGATGGGTTTTGTACTGTGTTAAAAGTTGTTGAAACGGTGCTTTTATTGTGAAAGGTCTCAGACGGAGGTCCTATTGTTTTGGCTGTTGAGTCACAGTGTTGTAGCTGCTTACACACACTTTGTTGTTAAAACTGCTTGTGCGGCTGCGAAATGATCGTCAACATTAGCTACAGGACCATTCGGGGAAGTTTTAATAAACACTAGACATCGCTGTTCAGTGTTGGGGTCGAACTGAAAGTGACAGAAGTATGCAGCTTTGACAACTCCAATCTTCCCGTCTGGAAGCTGATTGGCTAAGTTAAACGTCGGCTCGGCGTCTGACAAGTAAGTCTTTGTTTTATACTATCAAAGCTGCATTTTTGTTGTTAGAAAATATGTACAAATAACTTTCACACCGACACGCTCAGCATATTGAGATATGTTTGTACTCAACTCCCCGAGTACAAAAAGCATAAAAACAACCTACCGAGCTAGCGCTAGTGAGTTTGTTAGCTTGCTGGCTAAGCTGCGTTAGCCAGCAGCCTTGGATAAATACAGCCTTCAATCAGAGGTTTTATGTCAGGATCTCGGCTTCATTACATTTTATGCTGTGTGTGAAACCAGCTGGCTTCATTCATGGGCTTTTATTTGTTATCGTTATTGTTTACTTGTGCGAGGCTTACATTGTTGGTTATGTTAGCAATTATAGCTATTCCATTGTCCATTGTTTTTCATCAACCGGTCACACTGACCAACCACTAATTTAGTGTCTGATGTGATAACGGGATATGCTGTGAAGTTTTGAGCCCATTTTCAAAGTTGTACCAGTTTGGCTTTAACAACAAGGCGTTAGCTAATTTTAAACCTGAGCTAAGTTCACATTTACAACAGACCTCTCGTTTGACATTCGTTATTTCACTATTATTACTGTTACTACTGATAGTAGGAGGAGGAGTATGTCCAAAACAAATTCACACAATTCTGTGACTTTACTTGGGTACTGTAAATAAAGATTATTATACCTTTTCCCTGACTAGCTAAAAATGAAAGTGTTGTCTGTGTGTTGCAGTCCACTGAAGAGTGTTTTATTTTGTATTTTTTATCCTATCTCAGCTTTCCTGATTGTACAGGAGTATATTTACAGGTGCTGCTCCGATATGACTAAGAGAAGCCCGTCTCTTCAGCTGGTCAAAAGGTAAATGGTTTTCTAGAATGATGTTTTTTACTTGAGCAGTTCTGATATTTAAACATAGTTAATAGTTACATTTTTTTTAACTATAGAAATTATTCAAATATCTTGGGACTATAAGTGGGCAGAGAACGTCCACTGGTCTGTTCATGAAGCACTGGGTGTTTGCATGGTGGACATGTTCTGAGGACTTGCTGTGTCTAAAGTCTCCATGATCACACATTTTAGTAGCATGAGGAGATGGACACATGACAAAATGTCAAGTCAGACTTGTCTCTACTGCCATAGCTTTGGTTTGCAAAAACATTAAAACCACTGGGGTTTTTTTTGTTTTGTTTTTTTATCTTCGCTTTTTTATTATTTTTTTTTATTTTTTTACTATTGTACATTTAAATTGCTGAACAATTATGAGCAAACAATGGCAGTAGCTTGCAAGGGGCCAGGCAGCAGGATCCTGCCAAAAAAAACAACCCAAAAGTAATAGAGTGGAAACTGTGTGTGTGTTTGTTTCATCATGTGACGGGGCAGGCCAGGTGGAGCAGAGGACAGACAGGTTACGTGATAATAACATAACTTACCCAGCAAGTAGTAATCCATTTACCCAAATTCTCCTGAATTGGACATTTTGGCAGGTACTTTGGCAAGTCATAGTTCACTGTGTTTTAGGGACAGCAAAGAAGAAATACAAAATATTAAGCTGTTTCTTTGTAGGGAAAATATGCTCAGATGGATTAGTAACGGTTTATGCAGACTTATTACATAATGACACTTTGCATTCGCTCAGCAAAATAATTAGATAAGATTACTGTAACAATACTGTAGACAACCCTCTCCTTGATGCACAGTGATGCTGATCCTGAGTTGAGTTTAGGGTGAGTTGTGGTACTGTCAAAGAGTGTGAAATTAGTTTGGTGGGATTTCTGCAGTCATTCCCTGCAGGGTCAAAAGCTGGTTGTGGTTCTTGTGTTGATTTTGTCCTTCTGTTGTAATTTTGTAGATTGACAAATTGTTGGCCTGGCCAATTATCAAGGCTGATATTCTACATTTTCCAGTTATCTGTATTGTTATTAATATTCACCGATTATAATTAGAATACATTAAATGTATTACTCTGCCTTTGACACAGCCACCTCTCTCTGTCTGTAGTCACTCTGGCCTCAAGCAACGTCCTGCACACAGCACTATGTGATAAGCAACATGTCACAAAAAACAGCCTATCAATGAAAGCTGTTGTTTACACAGAATGCCTGATCAAGCAGCTCTCATGAATTAGCAGACATGTTGCCAAGGAGAGGTAGCAGATAATGCTGAAGTTGTAAGAGACAATGCAAACTTACACATGCATGCCAAATTTCCCCGTTACACTGGAAATGTCAGTGCAGCTGGAACGGATTTTACTGATGGTGCTAGGCTAAAGCTATTACTAAAAAGTTTGCTGTGTCGCTTATCCTTCCAGCCATGTATCTGGAGTACTTGTAACATCTTTCTAAATATTCAATTTAGAAACTTGTTGTAACTGACAGACACCTCTCTAGCAGACACTACATCCAAAAACTGAACAAGAACCACATGCCATTGTCACAATTTAGGAAACTGGCTACTTTCACAGTGACTGGGGCTATGCTAATGGCTAGCAGCTAAGTAAGGGAGAGTCTCTCCCAAGTGGGGGGCACAGCCACCCCTTAAAGTCTCATCTTGAGGTCTGATAGTTTAAGTTCTTTCACCGCTCTGCTCTGATGTCATTTTCAGTAGATGAAAGTACCGTGTTTGAGTGCAAGTGAAAGCAGCATTGATGACCATGACAGAGGCAGATAGCAGTGTGTGTTTACACTCAATAGCAGCACCTTCAATAATTACATATAACTGTAAATTGTTCTGACATGAAAACAGGATCAATCAGGATCTAACGATAAATAGCCCTGTTTGCTTTTCTTTACCTCAGACAGGTGAGCCGTCACACAGAGTCACAGTCTATCACCTGCAGTTAAACTGTCTGTTGAACTGTTGAATCCTGAGCACCACTACAGCTGCATATTATTTTACTGTTAAAGTCTGACCTGTCTAAAAAGTAAAGTCATTTTTTGTTATATCAAGTGTTTTTTTTTTCTAAATTATGAAGATTAGCAGACATTATTATTCAAATGGTTGCATTATAGAACGTGACCTCTTTAATCAATAAAGTCACTATGAAAATACAGCAACAGGAAGCAAAGCAAACATGTCTTATTTTAACATAATTGGCTGACGTTACATAAATTATCATCACAAATGGACAGAATTTTCAATATTGAAATCCCCAATAAATTCTGGATGTTTTGCCAGTGGATGAACTTTCCCCCTCAGATACACTGCACCATCTGTTGTACTGCTGTTGTTTGATTCAAGTCAACAAGCCTGGTTAATCCTACTTTTTCCCATTCATTTCATTTTTTAAAAAGAAATTAGACACTGGCTGCAACCTACTAATAAAAGAGTAACATTCACAGAAATAAATCAAAATAATATTCTTTCAGATAAATAAAAACTAGTAAGAGAATATCCATTAAGGTACAGTAAGATACTTAACTGTGCTTAAACTGTACTTCTGCACGACTGCTGCTATAACAATAACCTATGGCGTTTGTTACTGCTTTGGCCCGGTCTGAGTGGCTGCTTAACTGCTCCAGAGAGCTTGATTTGTACTGCACTCACTGTTTTTTGTTGTACTGCTAATGTTACATTTGTGTGATGTCGTCTCAAATAATTAAGGAAGTTCAGCACACAAAATTAGTAGCTGGGACTTGAATGTCTTGTAGAATGCTCTTTCCTCAAAGTAGTTAGTTCCGGTGCCAGCAAACGTATGTATTTTGCGAACCACACTGTCTGACTTCAGATTCACTCAAGGGTGTGTGTAAATATTTTTTCCCAACTGCAATGAAAAGCTTTCACTGTGGAACTAGGCTGTTGTAAAGGTGACCTATGCTGCATGCGGTCGGGGTGGGTGGAATGCCATTTTATTCAGTATTACAAAATAAATGAATGTTCCTATGAAATAATTAAACATGGCTATGAAACAAATCCTGAACAAGTAAGTTAGGTAACAAACATATAAATAAATGTAATAATTACATAAATATTTATACATCTATCATAATGCTGCTTTTATTTATTTCAGGAGACTTTTATTTTATGTCACATTTATTTGATGAGAATTTTATTTCCTACTGTCACATTTATTTATCTCAAAAGACTTTTACTCAACAGCACATTTCATTTCATGGCGCTTTTTATTTCGATCCTAATATTGTAACGAGGCAACGTGGTTATGCCACAGATTCAGCCCAAAGTCATAGAGCAAGATGGACATAGCCATCATGCACTACCGCCTGTATCGTCCTGACTGCTTCAAAGTCGTTGCTAACAAAGTTAGCTTCCATAAGTCAAGGCAATGTTACAGGTAAGTGGTAAAGTACTCTCAGTAGGTAATTACATGTATGTCTTCGTTTAGCAATATTATGTTCATATAAAAGGAGTAATCTACCTTTTTGTAGCTGAAGTTATTGTGTGTATAACGTTTAACTGTGCTAGCCACTTATGGTAAAACATGTTTGAACATTATGTTTTATATTTTGTGGTGCAAATCTAAGGTTACATTATCACACTTAGCGAGTTGAACAGGAATTTGTCAGTATCGTTATTTAGTTGTTTGTCATAACTAAGTTTCCTGTAGATTAGTTAATTAATCATAATGAAACTATAGTTTTGCTACCTGTTGCCATCTCTGCATGCTGTTGGTTTATGAGTAGCAGATCAACAAACCGATAAGCTACTTAAATAGAGTTAATGTTACACCACAGAACACTGCCTCTGATTAATGTGTGTTCTCCCAGTTAAATGAATGGAGTAGAGTTCATTGTTGATGTTAACATTCTTTGGTTTTTTGTAGCGTAGACTGGATGCTATGTTAGCAGGTCTTGTTCATCTTAGTGTCAAAAACATCTTTTGGAATGATTCTTCCTCTTTTTCAGAAGAATTAACGTTACTGAGGGTTAAATATCGTGGACACACACAATACAGTGAAGGTGAGTGATAGATGCTTCTCTATTGCGATTTAATGTGAAACAGCACAACAGACAGTTTTTCTACAGCTGAGCTGAGGTTAGAATGTATTGTCAGATAACTGGCGCCCAGCTAAGAAAATTACGTTTCCTTTTTGTCCTCAGCCTACATAATAATGCTTTACAAATTGAATAAAATTGAATTTTACAACTTCATAGTCTAGCCGTGGCCGGAAAACTGTTTCATTTTCTCAGAGGAAGACAGAAATATTTCCATTAGATTAAAAAAACTAATTAAAAGAATTAAAGCATCTGACTTTTGATTGCATTCATACTCGTGGTGTGTACACTCTCATATTCAGTTGTTCTGTAGTTTGTTGACAATATTAACTGCAGTTGGGATTAAAGACCCCTTATAGATCTTGTTCTCACTGTTACAGTGTCTTTTCCGTCCAGCCATAGTCTGGATCGTTGGGTTCCACGACGCTGGGCATGGGACTGAGAGCCTCCATAAGAAACCATGGAGAACACTTTCTGTGATTAACTGGTCAGTGGTCCTACCAGTGTCTGATGCTGCAGGTTTGTAATAAACTATGAAGAAACAGTCCTAAACAGATGGAAATTAAACTGCTATTCTGTGTGTGACAGCTCACCTGTCTGATGTGAAGACATACACAGTGTGACCTGTGTGTCTATCCATTAATGTGATGGTTTAGTTGGTGTTAAAAGTGATACAGCAATGGTACAACGTCCAACATAGTCAGATTGCTGTGACGACTTTTACAGAAGTGTGACCGAGGTGCACATTCAGACCTGAAGCCGACATGTTAAATTGCCATTAGATAAACAGAATGGAGTGCATGTCTTAAAAGGGTCCCTAACCCTAACCCTTTGTCCCGTTCACAGTGATGTATGTAAACTCAGCAACAGCAACACAGACTTCAGAACAGCTTCTTCCTCCAGCCTGTGGGCCTGCTACACATACTGTTGCATACACACAAGGCCCCATGATGAATACCAGCCCATATACATTATCTCTAATGTGCAGACTGTTACACTATGCTCACTTTAATTGTAAAGGCAGCTTTTATTCCTTTACCCAGGACCATCTCTGATTTGCGTGAAACTTTTTTTTACTTCATAAATGAGTGATTCCATCTCAGATCATGAAACATTTTGATCAGTTTCTAATCAACCATCTCTGGTTTGCCTGAAATTGTGTGGCATAAACGATGACTATTTATAAAGATATTTGTAAATTTTAAATTAATATGTTAAATAAGTAGGGCTGTAGTGTGGCTCGATCGTTGGCACACACAGTTAGAAGATCCCTGGTTCATGTCTCGGCCTCGGCCTGGGATCTTTTGCGTGGAGTTTACATATTCTCCCTGTGCAGCGTGGGTTCTCCGGCTTCCTCCCACAGTCCAAAAACATGCTAATTATTAATTGTCCGTAGGTGTGAATGTGAGTGTGCTTAGTTGTCTGTCTCTAAGTGTGGCCCTGTAATAGACTGGTTACCTGTCCCGTGTGAGTCTGCCTTTGCCCTAAGTCAGGCTCCATAGGCTCCAGCCCCCCGCGACCCTAGTGAGGATTAAGCGGTGTATAGATAATGAATGGATGGATATGAAATAAGTTCCAAGATGAAAAAAAAAAACTGCCCGCCGGCCCACTGAAATATCCATTGAGATAGTTGAGCAGGAATTGTTGAAAACATTTTATAATTTCAGATGGAGTCACTCATTTATGAAGTATTCATTTTGTATTGTGTTTTTCATATTTACCATTTCTACTGTATTTTATATTGGTAAGTAAATATGTTGTCACTGGAGTTTCAACTCCATCATGATGCAGACTGTGGCTGTTAAGTATTTAAGTTCACTGTAAGCTGCACACTGCGATATGTATTGAATCTATTAATTGCATTATTTTATAAATGGCCTAAGTTGGAAAGTGTTTAAATGTATGAAGTTTTTAATGCACAATAAAGTATTTCTGAAGCTCTCATACTAAATATGTTGATGTGTTTTACTTTGCATATGTTATCGGTCTTAACACCAGCAACATGTACAGTGTTGGAGTTATACAAGAACATACTGGAGGTTTTAACAGAATGTATAAGTAACTACAAGGCTATATCAATGTTGGCTTCAATGAATGACATAGATAATGAAAATGTTTATTAAATACTGTCAACCTTGAACACGGACAATAAACGACATAAAAATAGATACAAGAGTTTTTGTTTTCCTAATGCTTGTAATCTAACTCTAAATCTAAATGTAATTCTTCAGCTCACATTTGGGAATCTGTATGTCTGATGAATATTTCTAAAGTGGTAACAGTAGTTTACATCTCTTATAGAGTTCCATTTTTCCTACTGAAGAACCTTTTAATGTCAAACTGGGACATACTTTCACCATGAAAGTGGTGAAAAAAGTTACTCAATCATTTAAATCCTGTCTTTTTTTCTTTGTTTGATTTTAGAGGAAGCTAAACTGGAGGTAGTTTCTGGCATTACAGTCACAGCCTATTTGAGAACAAAGGATGTTGACCATGTAGTCTTCCCTCCTCACCATCAGATGTACGACACCATGTGACTTCTTTCTTCTGCTGCTGCTCATGACTTACCTTAAGACAATCCTCTGCACTGACAGAAGGTCCTCACCTTGAATATAGGACACACCTCAGTGGAAGAAAGACATCACAGTGTCAGCATCAACAAAAAAAGATTAATTTCACAATAATATATCAAAAAGATTTCCTATTTTGGGTTTTCCATCTACTTAAAGAGAGAAAGGGCTGTAGTCGCTTTACATGTAGGTGAGAGGATTTTTGTCTTCCCAGCAATTCCAATTTTATATTTAACTATAGTGTTAGTCACTACTTTGTTAGTATTCTAGGAGCTTAATCTTACAATCTGCATTGGTCTTATTCTTACAACCACAGAAGTATTACAACGTGAATTTGATTTATCTCCATATCAGCCTTAGGAAATGAATGTCTGTGATTAATAATGATGTATAAATTCACTTATTCAGCATCCTTCATGTTAGTGGAGTCATCCACCTCGATTTGCAGCCACACATAAAGAGACTGAGACAGAAGTTGGTAATTACAATTAATTGTGCTATCAACTGAATGTTTCTTCTTCTCTGGTCAAAACACGCAGATAAAAAGAAACAACCTTTAGGGTGCATTGCACATTTTTTCTAAAATTGCTTATAAAGTGCAGTGAATTTGAAACCATAAAAACAAACAAACAAAAAAACAAAAAACGAGGAAAAAAAAACAAACATACCAAACAGGACATCAAAATCTCTAAAGAGTCTGTTGGTAAACAAAAAAAAAAAAAAACGAGAAAAAAAAAAAAAAGACACCAAACAGGACATCAAAATCTCTAAAGAGTCTGTTGGTCCAATTAGCCAAAATGCAATAATGAAGTCACATTTACAGCGAACTAAAAAATGTAAAAGATATCCTAAAGAATGCCGAAACTGTCTGTGAAAAGCGAACAATACATTGGCAGATAATGGTAGAAGTCTGGTGAAATACATAAATGTGACATATAAAGAAAAAGTTTGCGGAAAAAAGAAATGGCATTATGAAATAAGTATATGTGGCTTTATGAAAGATGATTGTTTACTTCATAACACTTATTGTTATATTTGTTGTCTGGTTTATTTATTTAGGGTTGTGCCTCATAGGCATTTGCTTTATTTCGTAACCAAATTTAGGAGGTTCTTATTTATACTGATTGTTACACGTTAATGTTAAAATTAAACAGGTAAACGTGATGTTTTAGAAGGTAGAATAATTTCATAGCTGTTAGTCTCTTCAGGTCAATGTATTTACAGTTTTTTTTTAAACAGACTTTAGATACAGATGAAAATGTTCTTTCCAAAATGTGACAGGATGCTGAACCACCACTGCAGAAGGAACCCTGAGCTTCATGAGGAGCTGCAGATCCAGGCTGCAGTGGCAGCAGGGGATGTCTGCACCGTCAGGAGGATGCTGGAGCAAGGATACTCGCCTAAGATCCGAGATGCCAATGGCTGGACACTGCTCCACTTCTCTGCTGCCAAAGGGAAAGAGAGATGTGTTCGAGTCTTTCTGGAGCATGGAGGTCAGAGGCTTGGTCTTTTTTGTGTTGATGCTGAAGTTGGCCTGTTGTTATGCCATGGCAAGTTTTTCTTTCTGAACACTAGAGGGCACTGTTTTACTGGAGGACACAGCCTTTCAGTCAGCTCTGTCTTAGTTGAGTTACTCAAGTTAGAATACACACAACATGCCACACATAGGGTCCCTCATCTGGCAGTTATGCAGAGTCAGACAAATATCCCTTCATCACTCAAAAAATGTCTTACTTCTACTGGAAATATTATCTAGAATGATCTTTTCCACAATCTATTTAAGTATATGCATATAATGCTGTAAACAGAATTTATAGTTACACAAAGACTACCACTAAAAATCACCACTTTATTAAAAGCACATCACAATATCTCATTTTGGTGGACGTGAAAACATCAAGATGGAATGAGGTTTTCTGTTAGATGGACCCAAAAAGACCATGAAAATAATACAACTGTAAAGCTATGCATTAAGTCCACATGAATGAAGTTGCTACAGATCTTAAGACAAATTAAGGTAACAAATACATACCTGCCAATTTACTAATGATTTAGAACAGCTCCACATTCCAACAGTACAGCCAGCATGTAGCATGTAGTTCTGGCTGACACCTCCCCTGCATACAATACCAAAGAGAGGCTGACTGTGACTTTTCAGTGCCTATCATGGACACATTCAATATTAGAAATATCCATTGCCTTGTTTGCAACTTGTATAAAAAGCTCAGATTTGTTAGAATCATTGAAGTGTAATATTGTAGCTGGAAGGCATTGTACGTTAGGGCAATTAGTGTGAACTACTGAAGAAATTCTTGCTGGCAGTTTATTGTCTAGGTGTGCTAAGTTGATCATAGTTCATGTCACTCATAGCTGCAAAGCACAATTCCTGCTGTATTTGTCTTTCCTCTCATTTCCACTCTTTCCATTCTCATCTGTACAGCTGACCCCACAGTGAAGGACTTTATTGGTGGCTTCACAGCACTTCACTACGCTGCTATGCATGGCAGAGCACGCATTGCCCGACTGATGCTGGAATCTGAGTTTCGTAGTGACATTATAAATGCAAAAAGCAATGATGGCTGGACGCCACTGCATGTGGCAGCCCACTACGGTCGAGACTCTTTTGTACACCTCCTCCTTGAGTTCAGGGCTGAGGTGGACCCTCTTAGTGACAAAGGAACCACACCACTACAGTTGGCCATCATCCGTGAGCGCTCCAGCTGTGTACGGATTCTCCTGGACCACAGTGCAAACATTGATATTCAAAATGGTTTCCTGTTGCGGTATGCTGTCATCAAAGGCAATCACTCTTACTGCCGTATGTTCCTGCAGAGGGGAGCGGACACTAATCTTGGACGTCTTGAAGACGGCCAGACTCCCCTGCATCTGTCAGCCCTTAGGGATGATGTATTGTGTGCCCAGATGCTCTACACGTATGGAGCTGATACCAATACCAGGAACTATGAAGGCCAGACACCAGTAGCTGTGTCTGTTAGCATGTCTGGAATCAGCCGGCCTTGTCTGGATTTCCTGCAGGAGGTCACCAGTAAGTCTCACTAACACACTACTTGACATATAAGCATTTCCTGCAGCATGATTATGAATATGTGTACATTGTATTTGTAGGCATGGGTACTGGCCAGTCTGGCGTGGCTGTTTGCTAATGCATTGTGGCATTAGCAGAGTTTATGTTCATAACTATGAGAAGAAATCTGGGAAAGTGGGTGGTGTAGAAAAGGATTCCAACTTAAGTACAAAAAGAGATTGATGTTTTTATTGTAAGTTGAGATGAGGAAAAAGTTAAGCAATGCATTGAGTGAATCGGGGCTGCTTGCCAACACATGATTATAACAACCAGTGTTCAGTCGCAGAACAATCCCAGGCTGGAGGAACAGGAGAGCACATTACCTGAAGCATTATGATTTAGAAGGAACAATGGCTGCATTCCTCCACTGCCCCTTGAACTTTGATATCAAAGAGCTCTGCCGTGATTCAGACAAGGCCTTTCAGAGACTCCAAACCTTCAGCCAGATCACATATCTGTTGGGTTATTGATTACACCGCTACCTCCTGGATTAACTCATATGCCATGAAAGGGCTCATCCAACACAGAATGACAGCCACCCAGCTCTTTTCAACTGCTGCACCCTGTAGGTTTTTTCCATGTGAGGTGCGGCAACATGTAGGAGTACAACTGTCCCCTTACAAAGGTTCCAACTTCAAGCAAAACCAAAAGCTTGGACAGCCTCGAACTCCACCCAGTGACATCCATGTCTCGTTTTACCTCACAATGCTGCCTCCTTTAGTGAGTTCAGTGATGACTGTGTTGACTTGAGGCAAGACTTTGCACTAACTGAGTAATATGTAACTACTCTGGTACCATACTTTCTTGATTTAAAATGATGAGATAAGTTACATAATTCATATTCTATGGCTGTTAAATACTGAGCAAAGAAACTCAGAGATTAGAAGGGCCATGCATGATACCTTGCAGCCCACTGAATTAACTTTTATCTGTGCAGTCTCTTTCACGCGCAACCTGTGTGCTTCTGACAATTTAGTGAGCTAATGAAGGCCTTGTGAGGCTTTGGAACAATGCTCTTCCTTGAGGTTTCACCATTCAGTATGAGAATGTCTATTGCTGTTTTAAAATGGGTAAGGTGAGCGTGGCAACATTTTCACCATTTTTTATGCTCTGTTGGGTTGGAGAGTGAAGTAAATGAAGGTAATAATAATAATACAGATTGTTTTTCATGTTTACATTAACTTGCATTAAGAGTTTGTTACATGGACCAAAACTCTGCAATCTGTTTTCATCTTTAAAAATGTTTCCCTGCACTGTTTGGCTTTTTTATGTTTGTTGTAGTCATGCATGCCGTCACACTTTCCTGACCAGTCAAGACCAACAGCATTGCCAACTCAGAGCATCTGGAAGTTGCATTTGGTGTCATCTTCTGCATGCCAAAATGTCAACAACAGTGGACTCTGTGACAATAGATGCATGTTACATTATGGTTTGTTAACTTCCTGTCATGGAAAATGCATACTTGTAGTTATCCTAGTATTTGGGTTTTCTTGGGTGTGCCATAGAATTTTACAATATTCGATGATGAAATAATAAATTTAACACACATTGAAATGCGTGTTAAGCCGCGGCTGTGGCTCAGGTGGTAGAGTGGGTTGTCCAAGGCACTGAACCCGAAGTTTCTGCTGATAGCAGGCAGGCACCTTGAATGGCAGCTCTGTTGCCATGAACATGTATGTCTATACTTTTATAGACATACACGTATTTGCAGGTTATTTCAACAACTCAATTTAGTCATAAAAAGACACTTTCTTAGTTAACTGCTCTGCCATTGAGGTGTTAAGGTAGTAGATAGAAGGAGTGGTTGTAGTGCCATCCCAGTACACTGAAGGTGAATGGGATGGAGGAGATGGAGACATACAACTCTGTTGTTGTTATGATTCATTTACGCTCAGCTCATGCGTGTTTTCTGTGGCGGGGTGAGACAAGTGTCTATGGCAGAGGTGTCACTTTACCAACATAAGTCTGATAACACTCCCACATATCACTTCTTGGAATCAAGGGGATTTTTTTTCTCCCAAATGTTTGCATACATCTGACACTGAATGATTTGGCGTACTGATTATGCCTTAAAATGGCTCTTGTAAAACAACATAGCAGACACAGGAACCTTAAAGTTTAATATTAGATCTACACAAAAAAAGAAGACTCTCTGCTTTTCCGATTGACAGTGTGGAGAAACACATCTGACTGCAAGAAATAATAAATAAATGATAAATTATGATAATGTATTATGCAGTACTTCTGATATTGCATATGATGAATTTGACTGCATTAAGCCGCTGCAGAGGTGATCATGGGGCAGGATGGGGCTTGATGGAGGATGAATAGCTGTGTACCACTACAGGGCACCAGTTTGGGTACATGGGCTTTGATTACACCTTAAGCCTTTTTCTTCTTAGTGCAGCTGCCTGATAACAGAAACGACAAATTTGTGAAAGAAAACAACTGTGTTGTGAATTGGCTGCACTAGACATTAGAGAGACAGACGGGAGGTTGAACGGCCACTCAAGTAACATGCTTTATATCCTTCTCCAGACTTTTTTGTCCAACAGCTTTCCCATGCAAATTAAATGTACTTTAATGCCTAATGTAAAACAAATCATATATGAACATTTGATTTAGTGTACTACCTTACCAGTGGCTTTTAAGAAGCAAAATTAACTTGGGTTTAAGGTATGTAAGTCCTCTCATCATTGAGTGTCTATCTTCACCAGTGCCACCTTCATTTGGCAGTAATCTGCTGTTGAAAGTAAAACCTGAGTTGTACAGATATGATACACACAAACAATGCTGTGGCACAAATGCAGGGCAGCTGTGTTCTAGTGGCACCATTCACATGGTCGGTTGTGACACTTGTTAAGTGCCGTCACTGCAGAGCCTGTTAGCATAGTACTTACAAACAGCTCATCTGCGGTGTTTTCAGGCAACTGAGGGATTAACGTGTCTCAGTGCTCTCCAGTATGAAAACTACACTTTAGGGACACTGATAACGCAATTGCTCCAACCCTTAGCTTTATGCTAGTTCTTGTGGCTAAGCAGCTGGCAAACACCAGTGCTGACATGTATGCAGTTAGCTACACATAGCTGATAAAATCGTCCCACCAACGTAATATTCAGGCTGTGATAATAACCTCCTTCACAGGTGTAATAACTCTTTGTGTTCCTCTTTCAGGACAACCTCGGACTCTACAAGACTTGTGTCGAATAAAAATCCGTCATTGTATCGGCCTTCAAAGCTTGAAATTCTTGGAGGAACTTCCAATTGCAAAGGTTATGAAAGACTATTTAAAACATAAGTTTGACAGTGTGTGAAACAACAATAGAAGAAGAGAAGTTGACTAAAAACTCTGCTATAAGACTATGCAATGATTCTGCTCCTTGTGTGGAAGACATTTCCACAGTTCTGTTCTGTACATGTTGAAGGATAGTTAGTCCAGTTTGTTCACTCAGTTCAACACACACAAAAAAAAGTGCTGTTCTCCATTCAGCCTTTTACAGCTAGAAAAGTTGCTGAAGAATGGAAATGGTGACACCTCATGTGAGCAAAGGTTTTTGTAGTTTTGTGGGAAAAAGAAACCTCATTTGACTGCAGATAGAGTTCTTACAGCAGTTCGTAGTTTTGCCATTTATTTTCTTATTGTAATTGTGCATGATGTTATCCTTGCTGGGTGAGATTGTCATCAAGTGCATATTTTCCAATGAGTTTATTGGCCATCATCGCTTTGTTTTTGTTTTTTTAATTGAGCTAAAAGACATTGAGCTAAAGAATGTTTAACTTAAAGTGCTGCAGTGATGATGATTTTCTTTCTGATTCAAAATCAGCAAAGATAACAATCATAATTATAAAAAATAAACTTGACAAGGTACACTCTCTGGTTTTGTTTTATTACCTAATAAAAGCCTAAATATGTAAGTAACTTGTTATTAAACCTGAATTACTACCCACATCTCCAACTTGGTCAAAGTGGTAGAGAAACAGGTGATCAGTCGAAGCTTTGTAGAAGTCAGCAATGTGGACAAAATGTTGAGTAACGCAGCAGTAATTTTCAGTAACATAGTTACAATGTGCCATTCTGCTTTGAACAGAGAGCAGGAAGAAAAACACAAATGGATCTAGAGGTTTCTGTGAGATATGGACAGACTGGTCTGCTAGATTGACATATAGCACAGCACAGCCTGACTTCAGTAACCACAACATGTGACATACTCCGGCAGTACCGTTAGACAGCTCCCTGCAGATGACAACAAACAGAAATCTTTTGGACTTCAGCAGCCAGTTTGTTGATTGTTGAAGTAGTTAATCAGGTATCAGTGTCCCCCACAAATAGAATGTCAAAAATAACAACTTGTCTGGTGTAATTTGGCTCTAAAGTTCGTTTCTAAAAATAGTGATAACCAGCTTGGAATTAAAATTTGGCCAAATGTGCCTAATAAAGTCCTTCTCAGACATGGGACACATAATATTAGTCCCTTCATCCATCTGTTAAAGTTCCTGCATTCTGTCATGCAGACAGGGCACTTTTTCATTAATGTTCCTCACAGGTTCTTTCAGGCGTTCCACCCACTCTGACAGAAAGAGCAGCGCGAAGCATGCACTATTTATCATTCATGCAAGACTAGACAATAGCAACGTGTTACACTGTCCAAAAATGAACAGCCTTCTTCTGGTCCATCTCAAATTATCAGGGGCCCTCTGATCGGCCATTTCTGATTTGCTTGAAACTTTTTTTTTTTTATCATAAACTATGGATATTTAAATGGTATCTGTAAAATTTTAGATTGATATATCAAATACTTTCTGAGTTTTTTTGTTTGTTTTTAAATTGCCTGTCCACCCACTTTCAGCACACTTTTTTCAAAATGTAAGGATATGTTTGACTGACAATGTCTCAGGAAATATGAAAGATAAAAGCCTGAACTTCACACGACAATTTCTCATTGTGTTTCATTGGTAAAAAGCCTGGCCTTCAAAAAAAAATCCCACAAGCTGGATTATGTGCAAACAGTTAAAGTGTGAGTTCATATATGTTCACAGGAACTGCTTAAGAGTTTACATTCAAGTATCTCTTCCAGTGAATAAATACATTCAAGTATAACAGGTAAAATAACAATTCAGTCTGTCTCACCAGCCGACAAAATTAAAAACAAGTGTTTTCTTAGTTCTATTGAACATTTTGAAACTCCATAACTCTGTTTGGACGAGACTATCTACCCATATTTCTGTTTTTGTGGCACAACTTGCCATACTTGCTGAATTGCATAAGGAAATAAAATAACTATTTTTCATTCTTGTTACCAAGTATCTTATACAAAAAAGTGTTCTGTTTGATTTTTGTATTATTGGGACATGCATCTACATTTGGTTCAGAAAATAACACTAGTTGATGGCCTTTTTTCATCTATAAATCAGCTATAATCAGAGATTATTTGATGTAATGCTCCAATACTGAGTTTCTGAATCAACAACGGTGAGACAACAACACGTTAAGAAACTATCAAATTTCAGGCTTTTATGTCAGAAAGTATTTGATATATCAAGCTAAAATGTCTCAAATATCTTTCTACAAATCCATATTTTATGTTTATATTTGATGATGTGAGATGGAATGACCCTTTCTGATTCCTCAAACAGTTAAACTAAAAGCTCAGGACTGAACCTGAGGACAGCCATATTTAACAAATGATTTAACTGCAGTTTCTCATCTGTGACTCGGTGTGAGAGCGCTCTTGTCTGAAGTGGAAAAATGTACAGTGTGACTTGCCATTTGATCCAGATCCACCCTGTCTTCATATCAGGGCTAATTTATAATTATAAGTAATTAATGAAGTCACAGCCATTGTTTAATGCATAAATGAACCCAACTCTCTCTTTGAAAATGTTCATAAATAAAAATCCTAGCAGCTGGAAACAACTAAACTAAACTGATTCAGTGTGTGTGATGGCTCACCTGTCTGACGTGATGACCAGCAGACATACCAGTGGGACTAGCTGTTGGATCCAGACTGATCCACTGTCCGTGCTCTCTGAGTGATCATTTATAAATATAAGAATTGAAGTTAGTGATGTTGCTGTGCTCCTTGTGCAAATGTGTGCGACTCCATCAGCTGGAACAAACTTCAGCTCCTGAAAAAGTACAATGCAACTCTTGGTGAGGATGATTAGTCTAAACTGTTAGTGTTTCTTTTTGTATTTATCGCAGTAAAGTTTTATTTAAATGTTTAATTTAATTCTTCGTGTCGCTGAATATATTTTAAATTGTCGAGCCAAGTGAGGGGAAAAGGTGTGATGTGATTTTTGCACACAAACTGTACCTTTTGCTTTCCGGCTTGTTTTTGGATAAATATTAACGCTGAAATGTGGAAAAAGCCTTCCCCCAAAATCACTTTAAAAAATCTAAGTACTATTGCTTTTGAGTGTGTGAAGCAGTGCAGTTCAGACTGGTGCCTTGTTGAAAGTGATTCAGAAGTGCTGCTTGGTGCAACCTCGTCAGACTGCTGGCACAACTTTTATGGAAAATTGATGAGGATGTTCATTCATCATGAAGCTGACACATTCACTTTACATGACATGTCAGTGCATTGACATTTTATTGTATTTTTTAGTCTGATTATTAGGCATCAAAACACTACCCTAGCTTACTGCCTATGGAGCCAAACAACAGTAAGCTAAGAGGAGATTTTGAGGTTTAGAGCTTTCATTGGGTGCTGTAACAAAACCATAGAGTGTGTCTTTAAAACTACAATACATCTTAACAGACATTTTTATTTTTTCATCATACAAGCAAGAATATAGCATGCAGCTGAAATGATTTTAGAACTTAAGTTCAGTGCTTAGAAATAATTTTATACTACCACTTAAACAGTGAGCTATGAATCAGATTGCTTTATCATTTCCATGCTATATATTGTACATTTGAGTTTAGAGTGAGTGCACTGTGATAGAGTACTGTTCTGAAGGACCACATTTACTCACTAAAGCAGTTGTTACATGAATCCTAAATAATAAAGTCTGTTTTGGGCAACACTGATACACAATCACAAGAAGCTACAGTTTATGTAAATATGTGACATGTACAACATATATTTTTGTAGAATTTATTTAAGCCATGATCTCTGGTATTCTTAATGTATTTAAAGTTTGTAAAATATTGTTATCTGTTTGGTGTGACAAGTATTTCTTTTTGTGTGTCAGAGTTCAAATACTCATACAAGGCTAATTTGAAATCAGTGTTTTGTTTGATTTTATTTGCACAAATGTTTGGTGCTTTCTTAAAATTCATCTTCTCTTGCAGGTAACTGTCGTGGGGGTTATAATGTGATTTTTTTCACTTTAACAGTTTAAAATAAAATGTAGGATTTGGTGTCTAAACAATGCTGCAGAAAGCATTATTCTGTTTGTCTGTGTTTATAATATGAAGTGAAATCATGTGGTGTCTAAATCTGGTTTTCCTAAAATGTTGCATTTGAAAACATTTACCTGAATTGACATATTAGTGTCATTTTCCTATTTATATTTGCAAATTTGTCTGAAGCTTTGTGTGTCTGCATAGCTTCTCTGGAAGCTTTGTTTGGGGACATGTTAGTAAAAGTATAAAATTTGAATTGCAAACTATACTAGGCAGGTAAACTGACATAAAAAACAAAAAGCTTAGAGTGACTACCAAAGGATATGAAGTGGGTTAAACATAGGATAGTGTAAATGGACTATGGAGGTCAGCAGAGTTGTATGGAATAGATTTTTTTAATGAATAACTTAGATGAAAACTACAAAGTAAACTTCTGCAACTGTCAGTCTTCATTTCAAGACTCTTGAGTGTATTTTTTCTTTCTAGTTTGCTAACTTTTATTCCAAAGTCTGCACCCTGCATTGTTTACATCCATGTTTAGCCATTTCCTTTTTTTGCCCTTGTTGTTGCATTACAGCATTTACAGCAGATTCAGAGATCTTTCAGACCCCTTTACCGCACACTTAGTTAGTGGCACGAGCTCAGCCCGAGGCCACTATTGTTATCCTGGTTCCTCTTCCACACAAAAGTTTGCCGGCCTACTCCTCCCACAGATTTGGGAGCACCCACACAAATTATATATCAAAACGTGCAGCTCGATCGGGAATCGTGTGCTTACATACAGATTTACAAAAGTCGCATTTTTCGCGACACAATTCGACAAAACGTCGCAAAAATTTCCCATTGAAAATGAATGGGACGGACGAAAAAAACCACACAAAATTACACTACTTTTCAAACCTCCACTGCTCAGCCATACTTTCACCTAGAGACTCCATTTAAACTTTAAAATGTTGACGCGCCCTTCCACTATTTCAAAGTGTTT